AGAGGGACAGCGCAGGAGGGGAAGACCCTCTATGAGGTAGATTGATTCAGTGACTGGGGTAATCGGGATGGGTGTGTCAGAGGCAATGAGATTGGCACAGCATAGAGCATGGTTTAGGGCTCTTGTACATAGGGTCGCTATGAGTCGCAAACGACTCGATGGCACATAACAACAACAACATTTCTTTTATAACTTGATCATGTTCTAGCAGAGTTATTTCTCTTCCACATGGATGGTTTTATAAGCTTTACCCTCCTGTGGTTAATTCTAGTTTTATGGCATTGTGATCTGAGAATATACTTTGTATTATTTCAGTGTTTTTTAATTTGTGGAGGTTTGCTTTGTGTCCTAAAATGTAATCAGTTCTGGAGAATGTACCATGTGCAATTGGAAGGAAACTAAATTGAGTTTTAGTTGGGTGTAGTATCCTGAATACATCCACAAGGTTGTTTTGGCTGATTGTATAGTTTAGATTTTCTGCATTTTTGTTGAGTTTCTTTTGTGTTGATCTATACTTTGGTGATAGCCCTGTGTGGAAATGTCGTACCACTACTGTGGTGCTGTCTCTTTCTTTCTTCAATTCTGTTAAATTGAACCTTTGGCTTGGGAGCATGGCTTTCTGTCTGCTAGGCCAACTGCTCGCTCTCTCTTTCTCTATGCTGTTGTTGGTGGTAGTGTTGTTAAGTGCCGTCAAGTCACAGGCGAATTTATTAAATAAAATATATCTCTCATGAAAAAATTGACCCAAATTCTATTTACTTGTGTCATTTACTTTAAATATTTAGTTTTAACTGTCTTTAGATAGGGTTTTATATTTCTATTAAGGCCATTTTGCCCTGTTTTAGTGATACTGCAACTAATTGTTATAAAACATTCAGAATTTCAATAATATTTAATAAAATTATACATCATCAATAAAAAACTCTAGAAAATGAAGATTATTTACTAGAGTATGAAAAATATTAGAAATAACATAACATCTACCTGAATATTTTTTATTTCTCAAAATATTTTAATAATGACATATAGATACTAAAAATAGTCTGAGAAGATTGACAAAGTACTCACTAAAAAGTAGATTTTGCTTGTGACCAACCAAAAAGAGAATGGGTATCATAATGATGTCCCAGGTAAGTCTTTGAATCAGGGCATAACGTTTTCTCAGCCAAATTTCTATTAGTAATATCTGAAATTGAAATACCATAAACATGCATTTATTACATAATTTAAACATCCTTATATTTTCTTTTTCTGGTTACATGCTATTTACATACAGTGGTGAATCTATGAGCTTCTTAAGGACATTGAAATATTTTGACAATTAGTAAGAACAGTGCTATATTCACAAGAAAATATATTTGAATTTGTGAGGCATAGTAGGTTATTAATATCAGGAACAAATTAAAGTTGTGTTAATTTGAAAAAAAATCACTGAACATTGAACATAATTTACATATTAAAGAAGCATCCTATAGTACAGTGAATCTCTAGTTAAGATTGTCTGACTTATGGAAAGTTCTTAATTGTTTTAATGTATGTGAATTTGAAATCACTCTAAAATAATTGAACAAATTCAAACTCACCAACAATTCAGCACAATCACCTTAACTTGATGCAGGTAAACCTTTTGAGTAACTTGAAAAGATTTTTAGATCCATCCTTATGTAAGGTAAAGATAGATAAGAATTATAGGTACAAGTACCTGTGTCAATTTATCTACAAATTTGACACAACAGTACATCTAGAATTGGATTTCATTTGAAACCCAGGACATCTTGTAATCCCAAATGATATGTAAAACCAGATAGGTTTCTTAAGCTTTGCTCCAGTTATCGATACAAATACCTATAGTCAATTTCATATGTTAATTGTGAAATAGTAAAAGCATTTCACTGGGATTGGTGACAAGAAGTGTGCTACTATCATTATTTATGCTCAGTTCTGTACCATAGTTATCCAATGCAATAAGACAAGAAAAAGAAATAGAAGTACAATGAATTAGGACAAAAACCCCCATTGTTATAACTATACATACAGGATAATGATATCTCCATAAAAAATATTTGAAGAATAAACAGATAAATTATGAGAATTAATATGAGAATATTTTTTACTTCTGACATCAGCAATGATATCCCTGGTACCACAGCCCCTTCTAAATCCTTCTTGAACTTCTGGCAGCTCCTTATATATCTACTGTTTCATAGGTTTTTGAATGATCTTCAGCAGTATTTTGCTTACATGTGATGTTAATGATATTGTTCAATAGTTTCCACATTCAGTTGGATCATCTTTCTTGGGAATGGAAACAAATATGGATCTCTTCCAAATCATTGGCCAGACAGCTATCTTCCAAATTTCCTGGCACAGACTACTAAGTACCTCCAAGTCTGTACCTTTAATTGAAACAAGTAACTTAGTATCCCATCGACTCCTGGGGCTTGATTTGTCACCATTGCTTTCGATGCAGAGTCAATGTTCTCCTTCATTACCATTGGCTCCTGTTCATATGGTACTTCCTGAAATTTTTCTGTGTCAATCAGTTGTTTTTGGTACAGTGATTTTGTTTTTGTTTATCCCCTCCATCGTTTTAAAAATATATTGTATTGGCTTTCATATAATTATTTCT